TCCAGGCCATGCCCTGCTTTCCGTAGACCCTGGCTGGATGTGCACAGATGACCCTCGGAGAATGAAGAGGGAGCTATAATAGGTCTCAGAAAAGATGGCATGTTTGTATGCTTCTTTGTGCCAGCTCCTCCCTCGCTAAACCCAAGATCGCTTCAATCTACTCAGTGCATCTGCCTGCTTCAGGATCAAAATGCCCATGGAGCTTGGAGGCAGAGAACGTGGCAGGCCATCAGTGTATGTAATAGAAAAGATACTCCGCGTCCTCCGGGTATTAATATTTTGGAGTGATGGGGCAGAAGGTGGGGCATAAAAAAAAAAGATTGGAAGAAAGAAGGTTACATTCACATATCCGATGCCATTGTCTGCATCTTTCAATGGATTTATATTGGTTACAGGGAGTTAATCTAGTTCCCTCCCACATTCTAGTGCGCTATAACTTGATACAGAGAGCCAGTGTGTTATTCCAGGACTGTAGCACAGACAGTGACTATAGCCTTGACATCAGCAAATAGAATTGACTTTGGGGCATGATTTTATTCTGCCTACTTGGAAGTAAGATCACAAAAGCCTTTTTCATGACATCGGATAGTTAGATGATGGCTGTCAGCTATTCAGCAGACTGTCTGCTTTGGATACAAGCTTCTAAGCCCCTCAGATAGTTAGATGATGGCTGTCAGCTATTCAGTAAACAGAGCTGTCTGCTTTGGATACAAGCTTCTAAGCCCCTCTCTGGTCCTATACACCTGTTAGCATCCTTTCAGATTCAAAGCCGTAGGGCAAATACTTTTGTTGTGTTACTACTATGTTGTGCCTTTGAGACATTTTATAAAGCTGGGCACTCCACCTTATAACCCTTCTATGAGAAAAGTATTGCTTCCTCCATTTCATAGGGAAGAAATTAAAGGTCAGAGAGGAAAATAAAATCAAATCACACAGCTGTCCAGTGGCCAGGGAAGTTTTATTAGAGTTTGGATTGTCACCAGCAGGGTTGACATGGGGCTCTTACCACCCACACAGCAACTCCAAAGTTTCTCTGTAAATGTCTTTATCTCTAATATAAACAACCACCCTCCCCGGACCCCCAAAAAACAACAAAAAACTATGAGTGGTGTCGTTTCTGTCCTATATGGTTCAAATAATTAAAATTTTCGGTAGGTATACAACAATCTATGAGTTTTTTTAAAAAATTAAGTGCTCACCTTCAATCTTTTAATATAATCTCTCCATTTCTTCATACATATGGGAGATAGAATCCTATAAGCCATGATATTTAACATTTAGTTCCCCTAGAATGAGAGGAGGTGGCATTTTTATTCTTTGCTTATTTTGTTGTTGCTTTCGTTGGGGTTATGATATATATGACTTTTTTCATTATGTTAAGCATTCAAAAATGAAGTTCAAAAGTTCAATCTACTTTCGGTGCAAGGCCCTCTAACAAATGATAGGTCGTTGAGTTGCTTTCATTGGGGTTATGATATATATGACTTTTTTCATTATATTAAGCATTCAAAAATGAAGTTCAAAAGTTCAATCTACTTTCGGTGCAAGGCCCTCCAACAAATGATAGGCCGTTGAGATTTGGGAGTTTAGGGCATGATTTTGAATAGGTGCTTTTCCTGAATTAAATTCACATTACAATTTTTCAGAAGCTGTTTTAAAAGAACACACAAGTAAGCTCAGCATTTTGGTGTAATTTGACAGCATCGTGTCTAATGGAGAGCTTGGAACACTGAGCACAGCACGGTTCAATCCTAATGTCTGTGTTTATTATGTCTTCCAATGAGTTGGTTTGTTGAAAAGAGAGACTGCAGTAATATATTGAATGTGGAATCTAGAATTCCAGAATTTTCTTCATGCCTAATATTTAGCAATATTAAATTTACCATATATTACCAACATGATTTTAAATCATTTCTGTGTTGAATAATGGAAGAAAATTATCCTTTATATTTAGGCCAGCAGAGAAAATTTACAAGATACCAAGGTGTTTATATATTACTTGAGCTAGTAATTTACATTTTAGCAAGACCAACAGATTCAGACATAAAAATAATCCAGCTATTTGGTGTGGTGTTCCTGTTATTTCATGGCTGCTTGATGTCTGGAGATTTTTTTGCATGTTTGTTTTTAAGCTAAATTGACTTGCAGGGTCTTACTGGGACAAAGCTGATGGTTACCTATTTGAGCGGCTTTGGGATGTTCACCAGTGTGGTTGATATTTGGGTATATCCTTTCCTTATCTTTATGCCCTTTACCTGCAGCCCATTTGCTGCATAGCAATGCTAGCTGGAGAATAGGTAGGAATTCAGAGAGGATTAGCCAACCCAGGAGAAGTTTAAGAGCATGCATATGATAAGTTGCTTAAAAGTAGGTGGCAAAACTCAGGGAGATTTATAAGGCTTAAAGCCACAGGTCCACAGTTTATCAGAACATTCTAAAAAAATTTTTTAAGTGGGGCACTTGGTTTATTTCTGATGCAATGACACTCAGTACAGTGGGCTGAGGAGGTGAGGAGGAGGGCTAGTGGGAAGGCCTTGTCCTGCATGGACTAATGTCCAGTGCCTGGTGCCAGGCATACGTTTCCTAAAACCACTCTTGCATGGCCATTGAGTGAAGGTGGGGATCGGGGTCTCCTGGAGGTCAGGCATGCCTCTTCCTTGAGCTGGTCCTGGCTGCTGCTGAGAATTCCTCACCCACGGGTAGACACTGCCTCCTGGGGCAGGTAAGCCAGATGAAGGTAGACAGGGGAGCCAGGGGAGGCCTCCAACCCACCTGGCCGTTGCTGGCTGACTCGGATGGGTCCGGGGCCTTTCTGGGCAGGGGTGCCAGATCTCTCTTGTCACTGGGATTGCTCTGGGAACTGAGTGATAGACTGGCCCAGGTAGGCCCTTGGTCTTGGCAGTGATCACTGGGGTGGGTTTGGGGTTGGCAATGCTGGAGGTGGGGCGAGCCAGGGACTTGTGGGTACAGTCTAGGCCAGAGGTGACACGCGAACTCATTTTTTTGGTTTATTTTTCTTTGTTAAATGGCATTTAAATATATAAAATAAATATCAAAAATATAAGTCTTTGTTTTACTATGGTTGCAAATATCAAAAAATTTCTATATGTGACACAGCACTAGAGTTAAGTTAGGGTTTTTCAAAATGCTGACATGCCGAGCTCAAAAGGTTTGCCATCACTGGTCTAGGCTCTCTGTCAGCTGGTCTGTTTGGGGGCAGCAGCTGGGGGTCCACCATGCAGCTGGGAGACAAGGTGGGCAGTGGTTGGGGACCTTGAGTCAGGCAGCTCTCCATGTCCTCGTCTGAACCTGCAGTGCCAGGGGCAGCAGGCAGGAGTCCGAGTCAGGCATTGTGGGCAGGGACTCACTGATGGACGTGCTGCTGTCATTAGAGCTGCCAGGGCATGTGGGGACCATCACCATAGGCACGGCCTAGCAGTGCTCAAACTCACAGGGAGACAGTAGGCACATGTCCACATTATGGGGGAGGCCAAGCACACACTCCGGGGGTGGGGTGGAGCTGGAAGTGGTAGGCTCAACCTTGCCTCACTCATGGTGACCGGGGGCAGTGGTACCACCTGTTCAAAGGAGATGGACAGGGACTTGTCCACTTCTGTGGAGTGCAGGAGCTCACTCAGCAGACAGGGAAGGCGTGGTCACCATGGGGGAAAGCCTTAGTTCTTTCAAATTGAATTCGGGTTTCATTTATTGGCAGTTAGTATGAGGTCATGCCATGTAGTAATTGGTGGCTTTGCTGACAGATGCTTTGGGATCATGTCTCTATTAGGCAGGTATGCATGAGCCCAACATGCATGAGCTCAACTGAGGCTACGCATTGTGTTACTGACTTGAAATGTCATCAGCCATGTGTTGTAGCCATTACTGGTGTTCGTTTGACAGAGTGGAATATTATGGGAAGCATTTTCTGTACACTTGTGTAAATCAAATCGAGTATAAATCATATCTTCTGGAAGATATTCACATACCCAAAAATGAGAAGCTTCTGAGTGATTATTTGTCTAGGGTCTTGGATAGTTTCTTCAATGTATATAAGAAAAAATATAGATTACTGGCTCTAAAAAGTTTATACTCTAGTTGTACATTTCATATAATTTACTGCAAAGTTCATATAAATGATTATAATCACATCATTACACATTAGTGAAGTACTCCATTGTTTTCATTGTATTAGGCATTAAGAGTAAAATTTTAAAAAAACATTATCATTATGATAAGATTTATCATTGATGACTTCCTGGAGGAAGAGAACTTTGAAACAAATCATATTTTCTATCACCTGTTGGAGGGTAGTCACATGCTCACGATGTGGTCTTGTGCAAAAAGACAGCCTTAGTGGTAGATGACTTGAACAGCAAACTCAGTAACCTGGTGGTAGGATTTCACAAACAGGGACAGTCTCCATTCTAGTGTCTGAAGTTCTCCTCATGGTTTGGATCTGTTAAGAGAAACTGTTTTCCCTAGGACAAGGCAATCCTGAGGCTGGTTCAGGTATTCACTCTGGAGGTTGAATGGCTTATTTATTTATTTCAAAATATTAATACAGTGTATTTAGTTATTTTCCCCCATCACCTTTTATCCCCTCTATGCCTTCTTCCACCTCTACCCATCTCTACCACCCAAAGTTGAATATCTTTAGATCCTTTATTTAAAAGGACATAATTAGTTTGGGTCCTGGGCTTGCCAGATATAATTTGACGACTTTACATTTTCAGAGGTATTATTGGAGTGAACAGATATCAATGAGGATCATAGATATGTTGTCTGTTTGTTTTAACAATTGGACTTCCTAAACAATACAACTTTACCCACACGTGCAGATGGGATAAAGAAATGCTTGACTATAATTAAGGGCAATTTCCATAAGTACCTTCTCATTCAAGTTTCGCAGAGAAGCTGGAATGATTTCAGAAAAAGATGATGTTATTTGCTTTATCTTCGATCAGGTTTACCAACATTAATCTTTTCTTTCCTCCCTTCAGATGTACATCCAAACAACAACACTTACTGTCTCCATGAGTTTAAGTGCTTCGGTGTCTTTGGGCATGCTCTATATGCCCAAGGTTTATATTATAATTTTCCATCCAGAGCAGAACGTTCAAAAACGCAAAAGGAGCTTCAAGGCTGTGGTGACGGCGGCCACCATGCAAAGCAAACTGATCCAAAAAGGAAATGGCAGACCCAATGGCGAGGTGAAAAATGAACTCTGTGAGAGTCTTGAAACCAACAGTAAGTCATCCGTAGACTTTCCGATGGTCAAGAGCGGGAGCGCTTCCTAATAGATGTACGTTGAACATTCTTCTACTGGTCTTGGGGGCTGTGCCACATGGCTCCAGGGGCATGACGGTACTTGCACACCATGAAACCATCATGGCTGTGAGACCCATTTGGTTCTAACCAAAGGACTTCAAGGTTCATGGCTCTTCTGAAGAGCGTAAACATGCACACACGATCTCTTTTCAGCATGTGACACTCAGGTCTCTCTTTGGAGGCATTACTGAGCTTGGGACTATCTTCTAAATATAAAAATTATCTTTTAGCCCTCACCAGTTTGGCTCAGTGGATAGAGCGTTGGCCTGCGGACTGAAAGGTCCCAGGTTCGATTCCGGTCAAGGGCATGTACCTGGGTTGTGGACACATCTCCAGTAGGAGGTGTGCAGGAGGCAGCCGATCAGTGTTTTTAACTATCTATCCCTCTCCCTTCCTCTCTGTAGAAATAAATTATAATATATGTTTTTTAAAAAAGAATTATGGGATGCCTTCATTT